GAGCCATTTGGCGTGGGCTGTTGGTCTGTCTGGGCAGATGGCGTGGTAGGCATGGGCGGCGTCGCCGAGTGGGCTTTTCGTGCAAGCGACATGGTGAGCTGCAGGTGGAGCTTGTGCGATGGTTGTTTGTTTGGCTCGAGGGGGAGGCTCGCTGAAGGACGGAGCGCGAGTGTCACGTGCTTGGCTGTGGTGGTGCTGTGGGGTTAGTAATCTGCGTCTATGCCTAGATGCTCCTCAGTGAGACTCTAGGCTACAGTGACATGTTTGCAATGGCTGGGGTCGAGGGTGAATGCTAGTACATGGTGTAGCTATGGTGTTGGATAGCAACCATGTTTTGCCCAGGGCCCTCGGAGAACGGCGCGAGCGTTGGAGGAAGCGCGACAGGGGTCCCTTGGCTAGCCGCTCCCCCGCCGCCATCCCGCTGCTTCACACTGCGCCTTTAACACCTTTCTTCTCTTCCATGTGAATACAACCATATCCAGCCATGGCCGGAATTGTCCAACAGATCGATGAGGCCATCGCGGGCCTCCTCAGCGGTTGGAACGCCTACACCACCGTCATCGCCTTTTCCCTCGTCGGCTTCCTCGGATGGATCATCTACGACAACGCCGATGCCGATACACACCCACTGCTGCTCGCACGACAGGCCCAGGCTTCATATGTGAGGCAGCCGGGAGAGTCGGCCATCTTCAGGTCTCCCGAGACTCCCCACGGCTGTATGTTTGTTCCATGAATACTGCTTCTATGCCTCCGACTAACCCCGCCAGACCCCCTCCGTACTGGCCTCGCTGTAAAACCTCCGGGCGCTCCCATGTACTCTGCCGGCAAAGATGGCGATCTCCGTGATATCTGGCGACGTGTGACGGGCGAGATTCCCCTCGATAAAGGTGCCTCATCCAGCGGTAGTGCACACATCATGACCGTCTTCGGCAAGGAAGGTGTTACCGAGCACCCACTTGAAGAAGTCACCAAGGATATTGCCGTCATCGGGAAACATCTTCAAGGCCGTGGCGCAAAGCGTGTTGCCGTCTATCTACCCAACAGCCTCGAGTTTCTCTCCACGGTCTTCGCCGGCGCCTTCTACGGCTTTACACCCATCCTGATCCCGTACAACCAACCCCACCAGACGCTCATTGAACTTCTCGTGCAAACCGGTGCCGACGCACTGATTGCCGAGGCCGGCTCCGTTCCCCTCTCAGATGTCAGCCAAGCTGTGGCAGACCTTCGTTCAATTGTCTGGACCGTAGAGAAGACTAGCAGGCACATGGATTGGAGCGAGGTACCCGAGGGCATTGGCGGCAAGGTCGATGTGGCTGTCTGGCATGAGCTTGTACAAGAGCACAAGAGCAGCGCCGGTCCGCTCCCCACGACTTCTGAGAAGGCTCCTGGCATTGTCTTCCTTTGGCAAGAGGCCCCCGGGAAGCCTGCCGAGATTGTCGAATTCACGCAACAGGTACGTACTTGCAGCAAAGTGACATGGCAACCCCTCTAACAAGCACAGAATATTGTTGCTGCCACTGGCGCGCTCATTACATCTCTTCCGTCAGTCCGCCGTCTCAACGCCTCGGATACGTTCCTCCCCGCTGATGCCTTTACTCACTCGTACTGCCTGTGCTTGACTCTTGCTGCCTTGTTCTCGCATGCTACCGTCATCGTCCAATCTGTGGCTGGCCCAGGCGTTGATCTGACGCTTGCTACTCGTTCCATCGCTCCTACTGTCACTGTCGTCTCTGCCGAGACTGCAGCAAAGCTTCACAATACCACGAAGACTTCTGCAATTGGTGCCGCTAAGAAGCTGGCCCATTACCTCGAGTCACGCATGTTGACTGCCGGCCGCCTGCCTACTGACAATTTCCTCACCAAGCTGAATGCCCCAGCCAGGGCGGAAATTGGCACCACGCCTGGCAAGTTGCGCTTGATGTTTGTTTCGGAACGACAGGGCTTGAACACCCCACCGCTGAGCTCGGAAGATCTGTCTGACCTTCGAATCTACACCAAGGCTCGCGTTGTGTACGCTTTGACCACGGCCAAGGTGGCCGGGGCCGTGGCACAGACGAACATGTACGACTACCGAAGAGATACGGCGTCGAATAAGCACAGTCACTTTGGTGTTCCACTAAGCTGCGTTGAGATCAAGCTGAAGGATACACCACAGCACAAGACGACAGACGAGCATATTGTTGGAGAGCTTGTTGTAACTGGCTGGTCAGTAGCGGGTGGGCAGGTATCACTGGGAGTGAACGCCACTATCCGGGACGACCACACATTGGCGTATGTGTAGGTGCATGGTGGAAGCTGGTGAGGAGAGGGTGGATGTGCACATACATATAGATATCAAAAATATACTTATGGACAGGCATTTAGGCCTAGGAGAATGCATCAACAAGTAGCGTGCATATGTAAGGCTTACACTTGGAGGAGAAGCGGAGACTATTTGCTCGCGTGGAGAGGGACCGTCCGGGGCATTGGAGCCGAGGCGCCACCGAGCCGCGCCCTGCTAGTGCTAGCGTTGAGATGGCCGGGGTGTCTTATCTGCAACTTGAGATGCCTGGGCGAATGACAGCCCATGGCCAGGTGGTTGACTCGCCATCGACCAGTGGCACAGTTGGCTGTGACTGGCTCTATACGAGAACTTACTCGGACCAGACACTTTGAGGCGTCGTCGGACCCCTCGCCTAACCGTACTGACCTCTCCCCAACCCGCCCGTCCCCAGCTGTCAAGCAAATTAGACGGTTCCCTCATGCGCTTATCTTATCATCTCCAGGCCTTGATATAACTAGTCGTGGTAACGGCCAAATGGACGGCGATCCGCCCCATGTCCACGGTTAGGTTCCCAAAGATAAAGACCTGTGTCCGTCCCTCTCTGCGCGACCTCGAGGCCAGACGCTTCGCGACTCCAGTGAGCTCTTGACATTGCTCTCCCGGCAAGCTTGCCACTAGGTCATCATGCCTTTTATCGAAAAGCCGCATTGGACCCTCAAGGTCGAGCAGCCTCGTAGTGCCTTTGCAGAGGGTAATGCGCGCTGGTAAGTCGAGAGCCCGCCCCCCATCCAACATGAAGAAGAAGAACTCTTGCTAATCTACTCAACTCCCACAGGACCAACAAGGACTTGGACCCTGTCCCAAGGCATGCCCGAAAGTGGGGTGTAACCAGCTTCGTCTCGTATTGGATTTCGGATGCCTTCAAGTACGCGCCTCGAAATCAATGCGTCCACCGTGATACTAATGGCATTGCAGTGCTGCAACATGGCAATTCGCATCCAGCATCATTGCAATTGGTACGCAATCTCCATGTCAATCGAAACCCCCTATTCTGACCACCCTCCGCAGGTCTCACCTGGCGCGAGTCCCTCGGCATAGTTGCCCTCGCCTTCTTCATGATCTCCTTCGTGATAGCACTTAACGGCGCAATTGGAGTCCTCCACCACGTCCCCTTTCCCGTCATTGCACGTGCCTCATGGGGCTTCTGGGGCTCCTACCTGGCCATCATCTCCCGCGCCATTCTCGCCATCTTCTGGTTCGCCATCCAGAACATGAACGGGGCCAATTCGGTCCGCGTCATGATTGGCGCCATTTGGCCTTCTTTCCTCACCCTCAAGAACGGCATTCCAGAGAGTCAGGGCATCGATACTGCCACCATGATTAGCTTCTTCATCTTCTGGCTCGGAAGTTTGCCCTTTTTGGTCATGCATCCTAACCAGTTGAGGTGGCTGTTTATGGCAAAGAGTATCATTGTGCCTATTGCGTGGATCGCTATTCTTATCTGGGCTTTTGTTTCTACCGGTGGAGGTGGTGAGATGTTCAACCAAACTGCTACCCTCAAGGGAAGTGCGTACTCATGGGGTTTCCTTTCGTCCCTGACTGCCGTTACTGGAAACTATGCTACGCTTTCCGTCAACCAGGTAGGTTGTTCCTTTTACAGCACTAAACTCCCAGATCTAACTCATTATACAGTCCGATTTCTCACGTTACTCCCGTGTCTCGGTGAAATGGCAATGCATTTACGTCCCATTCCTTCCTCTGGTCTTCACCTTCATCGCCTTCATCGGAGTCGCCGCTACGTCCGCTGGTGCTGCCCAGTACGGCGAAATCAATTGGGACCCCATGGCGCTCATTGCACACTGGGACAACCGCGCATGCCGCTTTTTCGCCGCCTTTAGCTTTGCCCTTGCCGCCCTGGGTGTGAACATCTCTGCCAACTCGCTCTCTGCCGCAAACGATCTCATGGCCCTGTTCCCACAATACGTCAACATCCGCCGCGGTCAGCTCCTGTGTGCCATCCTCTGTTGGGCATTGGTACCCTGGAAGATCCTCGCTAGCGCCGGCAGCTTCCTCAACTTCATGGCTGCGTATGCCATTTTCCTGGGCCCTATTGCCGCAATCATGGTTATCGATTTCTGGGTCGTACATCGCGCCAAGTATGACACGCTGGCGCTGTTCCAGTACAATGGTATCTACAGGTACACGGCTGGTGTCAACTGGCGTGCCATTGCCGCTTTCCTCGTTGGCGTTGCACCCAACTTGCCTGGTTTCATCCAGTCCATCAACCACAAGATCGATGCTGGTGTAGGCGCAAGACCGTACAGCTTTGGTTGGATGTTGGGTTTCGTAGGCACGGCTCTCGTATACATGTTACTCGAGATGGTGATTGCGCCGCCAACGGAGACTTTTATTGAAAAGCCTGTATACCCCGACGAGATTTACGATGAGAGTGGATACGTGGATGAAGGCGTTAGTGTAGGCAGTGGAACTGACGAAGCCAGGAATGAGAAGGTCGGGTGGAAGGCGAGGATGAATCGCATCCTGTAACGTAAAAAGGGGGAGAGTAAATCAATGTTCAAGTGAGGTGTCGTAACTTTTTTTTTAATATCGTTGAATTCATATAACAAGATGTATCAAAATGAGGGTATTTTCATCATCAAACCAAATTCCGACAACAAGACTTTCTTCTTAGCCTTTTGTGCAAACGAACGCACTCCTTCCACCCCATCCCCATCTCTTACAACCCCACCACCACTCCCACCAAACCCGCAACCCCAACCACGGCCCCAACACCCACCTGTACCTTACCCCCAGCACCACCCTGCTGCTCCTGAGGCTCCGCACTCGCCGCCGCAACCTGCAACCCGTACGCGGTCGACGTAGCCACAACGCCGCTCACCGTCGTCGTAACCACACTCGTCGCAGTCGTACTCGCTGTGCACCCTTCCCAACTCGTCCACGGCGCAGACGTACTCCACGGGCCCGCCGTCCAGCCAGGCCACTCGGACGGCGGACACTTGCTGCCGCCCCACCACGCGGTCCAGGGCCCGGAGCGCCAGTCCGAGCGCGTGGCCCAGTCGCTGTAGGGACCGTAGTTGGAACTGCCCCAGGGACCTACACCATCGGGACCTGTTTTGCACACTTTATGTCAGCTTTTTTTTTTTTCTTCCTTCTATTTTCTGTGGGGGGGAAGGAGGAGCATTTTGAAAGAGGGAAATAGAGGGGGAAGAAGAAACGTACCACCCCAGCGCCCTCCAGGACCACCGCCAGGACCATGGCCAGGACCGAAACCAGGTCCGCCCCAGGGACCTTGGCCGGGGCCCCAACTACCAGTTGGCCAGGGTGCGGCGGTCAGGGTTGAAGGGATTTTGCCGTCGGAGAGGAGGGAACTGTATATCGAGGACCATTTCGCTGGGTCGTCTGAGGCCCAGGGGGGACCGGTTTCGTACCAAGCTGCCGTCGAGGTGGGAGTTGGAGCTGGGGTAATTGTTTGGGCGAGGAGAGGGGAGATGAGGGCTGTGACGGTAGTTGGGAGGAGGAATCTCATCGTGGCTTGTGTTCTGTATGCCGTTCTCGGTTTATCCTTCTTTGGTGTGTGTGGTTGAAGAACAGACAAAAGAGACTACTACTACAAAATCGCTATTAATGCTACCTACCATCTCCTCAAATACTGCACTTGAACTGACATACGCGGCCTACAAGGCTAATCGACGCCATGCCGGCTTACCTTGCAGTTCCCCCCACCGTCATGGGCACCCATTATCCGGAGGGGTCCCGCGAGAGAGAGAGGGAGTGATAGAGAGAGGCTGAGCAGACGTAGCGTCAGTCGCGTGCGTTTGGCCTGGAAAACACTATTACTAGTATACTAGTGCGTCAGAGAACTCTTAGTAGCCAGAAATGTGCTTCAAGTCGGAAAATCGACAGCACTTCCACCGCCCGCTTACGCGTTCCATGGGACTTGCGTGGGCAGTCTCGGATTTCGCAGCATGCATGTGTTTGCCTAATTGGCTGAAAGGAGGGGGGAAGGGACATCATGCAGGGCGAAATATCTCAGCCCTATGCAATCCCCCCTTCAGGACGCGGTGTGATGACTTGTTTTGCGCAGTACCGACCGTAGTGGATTAATTTGATTGGAGGAGTAAGGTGCCACAGGGCAATGGCTTCGCTGTAAGAGGTAAGAGGCGGGCTTTGCGAGAGCGCATGCTAGATGTACGTAGATGGTTTCGGAGAATGAGAGTGGGGAGAAATCACGGCAGAGGAACACGCGAAATGCTGTATCACCACCGTGCGTTACGTTGGCCATTTGCCATGTTAGTATCGAGCTTGAAACGTCGAGTCAAACTGCTACCACAAGATGTTTGTGGAAATGTTGCTTTTTTTTCTCTTTGTTCCTCCCCGTTCCTAGGAAGGGTGATCTGAATATGGAAATGGTCGTTCGTGAACCTAGTGTGCTGGGGCAGACAGATACGGAGATCCCGATTGTCGATCAGCCGGCGAGGACGGAGATTCAAACGCCGATGCCATGCTTACTCTTGAACGAGATCATCGCCAAAGGACACCACTTACAACACATTCCATGACTTGCACGTGTCACCATCGGTGGCCTTGAAGTAAGTAGGTATGCCTACGTAACATGGTCCTCTCTCATTACGTGGCATGCATATCGTCAAGACTAATCAAGACGCGAAGAATGCGTTTCTCCAAGATTGTACACGTACACATGAGAAGCGACACTGTGTTCCGTGTGCTAAGTCGCATTCAATCACATTGTGGCTACGATTCCAATCTGGGAAAGGTTTGGTACATATGTGCCGGATTGCTTGCATCTGAGTGCCGGGTTGTATGCAGCAAGAGCCGAATGAATTGCTTCTGTGGAACGTGTGAACTGCACTGGATGCTTCAGAATGTCGTCACACTGCATGCAGAATGTAGGGAACAAGGGTTCTCGCTCTGCCCTCTCAAAAATGTGTCCATTGCCGGAGGCTGACTATCCTCTAATTCACATCCGGTAATCGCACGGCGATATCGCCTGACTGTGTGATGTAGCGCACCCAGGGCAATGATGGGTATTGCAGCTGTGCCGGTGTTAGTAATCCATCTGCGAAGCCATCCACCAAGTGAACTTACCTTGGGCTCGATAATCTTCAAATACCGCACTTGGATACCAGAAGTAGTAAAGTACGGGATCTCAAACTTGACATTGATGGGCCTCTTTGCTTTGCCCGCGCCGACGCCGCCCATACTGCCACCAAAGCCACCCATCATACCACCGCCCTTCTCGTCGTCACCGCGGACAGACGGCAGGCCTAGTTCAGCGCGCATGAGGAATTCCTTGCCACCTCCAAACTGCTTGATCTTCCACACAATGGAGGATGTTTCTGGTGCGTAGTGGACCGTGCCGATGTTTGTTCGGAACCGTGGTGTGTCTGCGTCTTCTGGAACGGGTATCGAAATTTGGACATTGTTCGCTGTACTTCGTCGCTTAAACTGTGCTCGCGCCTGAAACGTGTTAGCATAGCGTTCTTATCGTGGAAGCGCAAATGCTTACCTTCAACATGTATTCTATTCTGCTGCCCGAGTGGCTCTCTACTATGCACTCGACCCAGATGAGGGGCTTGACTTGTGTGTTTAATCGGTAGCTCATGAGCTCAAACTCACCGTCCGGCGGAATGAAGCTGATTGTTCGATCGTTTTCAAATCTTGATAAGCGCACACATTGGTGGAACTTGACGTCCTCCATCTCAACGGCCTTTCCTCGAGTGGCTCTTCCTGTGCTCTCAAACATGGCCTTGTCGTTCAATCCCAGCCGTAGTTCAGGCATACCTGAGAGGTAGCACTTCATCTTGACAGCACCCAGAATTTCTGATCGCAACACGCTGCCGGTCGCAGAGACGAGTAGATTGAGAGATTCGATAACATCGAGGAAAACTTCGTTCTTGCGGTATCGAATGCCTTCGCTTCGCCAGCTGACGGCGTTTGTGACTGCAATAGGCGGCCGTGCAATTTCGAGCTTGTGGGATTCTTGAGTGATGTACCTGCGCAGAAACTATGTCAGGAACGAATCGCATGATCAGAAGGCGGGGATCATACTCTTGCAAGATCTTTGTTTCGGTCGTTTGTGGGTATCCAAAGTCCATCATCTCATCCAGCAGCTCGTAGATGACGACAAAGTTATCCCTTATGCTCTCCTCCTCAAGCTCCTTGAAATACTCTGTAAAGACCTCGACAACCTTGTGCAAGAACAGGAGAATCTCGGCGGCATTTGTGTTGCGTTTTGTGAGGGCGAGAAGGTAGAGGTTGTTGTGGCGGATGTAGAGGTAGTTGATACCTTCGCTGGAAAAGCATGGTGGGACGGCCGAGCTCTCGTCTTCGGCCTCGCTGAGTAGGACAGGAAACTTTTCGACGGCCGACATGGGAATATCTCCCCTGTAGTTGCGCGCCAAAAGGGTCTATGTACTCGTTAGTATACAGCATCACTCTGGCCTTGACCGCCCTACCTTGCCCTTGAGGTCGAGAAAGAAGACGGCCGACGCCATTGTGTGGAATTGTAGATACTGCAGGGACGAGGAAAGAAAAAGGGCAGCTATCTAAGCATCATGCGCGGTCAAAGTGCAATTGAGGGGTATCGATGCCTTGTCCTGTCGCGTCTTGGTGATGCCAGAGTACGTGCGGCTCTTCCCGTCTGCCAAGACCCCTCCAAGCGCTAGCCTCCTTTGGACCCCGGTACTCTATTCTTACATGGTAGAGCTCAAGACAGACATTATGCATTCAGACACAATCTTTACAGCTTAATAAGATCTGCACCCAAAATGGCTCTCACTCCCAGGTAGATTCCATCTTGGAGATATAAGCAATTGAGTCAATGTGCCGTACCTCGGCGCTCCAGCGGAGTCTCGTGCTACACTTGATCACTGGTGTCCTCTTCGATGTCACAGAACCAAGAGTTATTTCCAATACATATATCGCTAGCGTTTAATCATAGACTGTATGGCACCTTTTACATACTCTCACAGTGCTTGTGTGGAAGTGAGGGGCAATTCTGCGAATCCAATGGCAAAGATTACCACACGAGGAACTAGTTCTATGCAGTTCAAGGTACTCACTGCATGGTCCCCATGTAAGATACGGTCGAAACCCGCAACCTCAAATTATAACGGAAGCGTTACATATTCCTTGTCTGGTATCGTGCCCGTTCAATATTAACGTGCCGCGAAAGTGTGTTGCCTTGATCACAGGGACTGTAGCTGCTCAGGAATCATATCATCTCATTTACTCATATTTACGTAGTACCTGAACCCCTACTATATTCACAATGTCTAGAAATGTTCTCGATGAAGCATTTACACTCCACTTCTATACTCCGCTCGGCATCACCTGCGCTTTCATCACGTGTGCACAAACAGTCCGCCCCGCTCGCTTTCACACCTGCGGAAGGAGTGAGCAAGCAGCTGCTTGGCTATATCACCTCTACCAAGGCTCCTCTCTAATTCAAACACACTTGCTGCAACCAGCTTCTAAAGACAACCTAAATGCTGCAGATATGTCGCATCAGTCGAATGAACACAGTTCGCAAATACGCCACGCGCAGGTACATGAGCAAGGTGAGCGTTCAACTCTTAGTGAAATCAGTTGCTCGACTGCTTGCTGTTTCTATAGCGGTACCTTCCTACTGACGCCATCCAGCGGCGTATCAGCGAGTGCGTCTGCGAATGCGCATCCTTGAAGATGTGTGCAGGCTCGCAAAAGAAGACGGTCAACTAGAGAACGTACTGTGCATAGCCCCGGATATGCTGCGTAGACTTGAGAAGCATCGATTCCCGTATCCGTCGCGTCTCGAGGGTTTGAGTGATGCACGAGTTGTTGAGGAAGCTACTGCCGCTCGAAAGTGGCTGTTTGCCGTACTCGGTTGTCAAATCAAGGTCATGCCGCGGGAGCAAGAGATGCGGACGATCAAGCTCGCTGTAGGAAAGCAACTCAAAGGTCAACAAGGAGACTGGAGCGAGAAGGAGCGGCTGTATATGGCTCTCACAGACTACAGCCTCCCTTCATGCGAGAGCCGTTTGCAGGCTGGATTCATGGTGGTGCTGCATCGTAATCTCGCAGAACATCTGCAGGATGTTGTCAAGCTTGGTGCAGTATATACCGAGCGCCTCCAGCGCTTGTCAGATGAGGCGGCCGACTTCCTAGACACGCTAACGCATATTGCGGACAAAGCAGAGTCCATCGTAGTCGACCACTTTGCTTGCGCTATACCCTTGGCGCAGCTTGCTACTACTGCGAATGACACACCTGCTATCAGTGATGACAGTGCTGCGTGTTGTCCAATATGCCAGAATCCCTACACCGCCCTCTCCGAATTCCCGATCTACGAGCTTCTGGACGACTATCCAGTGCGGATCAAGCACTGTGGGCATGTTGTCGGCAAAGCTTGCCTTGAGCAGTGGATGATGACGCCAAAAATCGACGAGGCCAAATACCCCCACCGCACATGTCCACTGTGCCGGGTCAAGGTGGAAGGGGTAAAGCCTCCGGAGACGCCCCGAGCTTTGAAGAAGCATTTCCAAGACGACCGAAGAGCCATGGAAGCTCTATTTGAGCTGATCTATGGCTTTGGTGTGGAGGTGGAAGACTGCATGAGTGCTGTGGCTAAGTGCATGAGCGAGGAGATTGCGTGCATTGAGCTTTCGACCGTGGTTGCACGCAACGGCAGCAACGAGGAGCAGTGCGAAGTGCTAAAGAAGAAGCTAAAGGAATTGCAGAAGGAGAAGCGGGTATGGGGGTTTAGGGGAGATGGAGTATGGAGCAGGCTGAGGGAAGAGTGGATGAACAGCGGCGTTGTCCGAGGGGCATGAGGCATTTTCCTCTGGCACCATAATCCTTCGATCAACGACTTGTGGTGGATAGGCAGCTGTACCGTGATGTTTTGAGGAATGATAAAGATGGGTCAGGTCAGAAGACAAGGGACACCGGTGTATGGGAGTGGGTGTTGGGATGGCCCTAGATGGGAAATATGGTGTCTCCACCCGTCCGTTGAGGCAGTGCAAGAAACTAGTTGACGAGCCATTTTCAACAAGAGCGTCCAACTCGTTTTGTGCATATGTCCATCTTCCCAAGCCGATCCGCTCAATAGCCAAGAAAGCAGCGGATCTGCAGCGGACATGAAAGAACGCATCAAGTGATCAGGAAGCGTCTAGAGTTGATGGACGGAGGAGGGCCTGGAATGCCAGGCACTGTTGCATGGCCTGCTCGTATGGGCGGCTCCGCTTGCAACAGACTCTATGTACTAAGCATACACGCACACGAGCACAGGATTGCTCAACGCGGACAATCTCCCCAGGCGCAAAGCGTAAAGGCCATGGTGGCTGGGCGCGGGGAATGGAGGCATCCGGTGCCCTGCCTGGACCCTCGTTTTGGTCCGCAGACCCCACCGTGCTGACCCCCTCACCCCCAGATTCCAGCGCGTATGTCGAGTGAGAGATAAACTAAATTCCGTTTGAGGCTGAGTCGAATATTGTTATCGTGCAGTAATCGAGTCTGGGCGCGGGCAACCCCCGGATTGGACCCACGCAGCACAGGGTACACCTGTTGAGCGGGCGTATGACGTCGGGGCTGTGAAGTCGCGTATAGGTGCATCACGCGAATTGCCACAGGCAGTCCCTGGGCATGGCTTGGCCCTATGACGACTTATGATTGTTTGTAAAAGCAAACGCGACCTCCTCCTTTTCTCAGTTCAAACCATTCCATTCGCATTCGACAATTCCCACTCCGCAAAAAACAAACTCCACAAGCCACAGCCGTCCACTATGAGCGTCAACGTAATTGACGTCGGCGTCAGCAGGGTGCGTGCCTGGCCCCTTGCATGCTACCATTGCCGGCATGCCCATTGCCCCAATCGGCATTCGCTAACCTCCCCCACAGATTTCTGGTGCCCGCGAACACCAGGAAGACAGATACATTACTCTCCTCCCCGGCTCCATCAAATCTCGCAAAGACCTCGCCATCTTCGCAGTCTACGATGGCCAGTAAGTCCCCTGTCAAACACTAGCCACTGTGGCGTTGAGGCTGACTGTTCGGCCCACAGCGGAGGCACAGAGGTCGTGAACCATGTGGCGCAGCATCTCCACACACACCTAGAACAGCAATTGACACATCCGAAAGCATCGACTATTGCAGAGTACAAGCATGCAATCCAGTGCGCGCTAAAGGCTGTAGATCGTGAACTTGATCAGGCTGACCTGCATGGCGGCTCAACTGTAACCCTGGTCCTCGTTGACACTAAGCAAAATCTCCTCATCCAGGCAAACCTAGGCGACAGCCATTGTTACTATGCCGAGCATGAGGTCCGCTCTCCACAATCGCTCTCCCCCCATTCGCCCGCACGGTCAGACTCGAGTATGGGCTGGAGTGTTGAAGCCCTAAGCGTAGAACACACACCAGATAGCCCGTTGGAGAAGCGAAGAATTGAAGAGTCGGGCGGCGCAATCAACTACACATCCGGTATCGCCCGTATCGGCGGTGTCAGCATGTCGCGTGCGCTCGGCGACCTCGACTTGAAGAAGCCACGCGTCAACCGCCTCGCTGGCCATGATCTTTCAGATCTGGTAGGAGTAGAAACTGGCCTTGCACCAGGAAAGGCTGCAAAGCACGACCTCGTGTCCAACAAAGCTCATTTCTCCGTACGAACGCTCAACGGCCAATCCCTTCTCCTTTTAGCATCTGATGGTGTTGGTGGAGCGCGCGAGGCAGAAGTAGCCGCGCAGTTGGCTGTAGACAGGTGGCAACAGGGCAAGGAAGCAAAGGAAATTGCCGAGGAACTGACACAAAAGGAGGGCCAAATGAAGGGTGCAGACAATTGCACAGTTATTGTGGTGGTGCTGGACACAGAGAACAAGGGTCGCAGGAGTATAGAAAGCGGGAGAAGGAGTTTTGACGTTTCCTCAGAACGAAGTAGTTCGAGGCGACGAAGACGGTCTAGCATTTCGAGCTTGAAAGACTGGATCCGTGACCTTTAAGCTGCCGGTGCCACATTGGATGTCTATTCATTGCCAATAAAGATATGGATATTGTTAAGGGAGGGACGGGATGGAGGTATTCTTCTTTGAGCTGCTCAAAAATCATGCAGGCCATGAGAGCGTATCCGGCGTATGTAGGTGCATCAAAAGCGTCCGTATTCTCGTGTAACTTATACTGCATTTTGCATCATAGCATCGATAACGAGAAATGAATGAAAAATTCAAAAAGTGAATAGTCTATGGTTCCGTACATGATCGCTGAATGTCTCCTTCATCCCTGAATTAAGCAGGAATCACTCCAAGAAGTGAAACTTGGTCGCCTTCACACATCTCATCTAATCTCCTTCTTTCGCCTTCAAATAGCATGATAAATAGATCTCTATTTTATCATCCCTTTCAGGCATTGTCTCCGCTAATAATAAACGGGTATATGAGGTATAAGTGACTACAAGTTCTACTATCGTGGACGGGAACTGTTGGGGGCGGAGCTGTCCGTATCGTTGCGGGTAGCGTCAATATCACAGATAGAAAACAAAGGCACGAGAAAAGAATTAGAACTTGGAAGATTTGCATGTCACCTTCTACCGTACTCGTAAACTCCCATTTTATAGTCCAACTGACCGGCTCGTAGTGTTAGTATAAGGGTCGTGAGCGACCCTGTGCCACCGGGTACAATAAGGACTCTACGGTAGTTGTCCTTGCGCCGTTATAAATGCCCTCTACAACCTCACACTGATATCATACAGTAAGAAAATTAATTAATTAGATTCTAATAATAGTTAGCTCTCGTGTTCATATGCCGTGTATTGAAGTGTATTTTGAAGGTTGAGTAGCGCTTACAATATATGAATACCTAGGATTATTCCAGCCGTTTGTTTACATTAGTAAAGTATATCAAGGATTTTCCAAGAAGTTTATTTTGTGCTGACTTCATTCTTTCGAAAGATGCATTGTTTTAAAGTTTTTTTCATGGACACGTTACTCATAGCCAGGTAAAGTTCATACCTATATAAACACACAACTAACACGCAACAAATCCAACTCCATTGTTCACCTGAGTTACCTCTTTACATTACAATACTACATATCTCTCAAAAATGGTGTCATCTTTGAGGCACTACCTCCAATTCTTAGCTATACTATGCTTTGCTTCTTTTCCTTTGGTGAATGCGCTTCTCGCCGAAGAGGGAACATTGGCTGGAGATGATTCCGGTGTACCACCAACCCCCTTCAACGAAGCAGCACTCTTAGCAGTTCTTGATCAATCACCTGATCAGAAGTCCCCAGCAAATCTTTTCAAGTGAAACGGTGACTCTCAACATCGCTCCAAAAGGATCCCAATTCCCTTTACAGGGGATCCTAACCCTCAACCAAACGGGGATTGTCAGCCACTTAGTGGGCATTATGCTGAGAGTGCTGACGACATACTTTGCAATCAAAAACATAGAACCGCGACGCTTTCCTACGCATCTCGCCGCTCTTTGTGCAGTAACGGAGGTAGACGAATAATTGAGTGTCAACTTTGCTACGGCCTTGGAGTTGCATTCCCTTCGGTAAGCGCTTCTTCCTTCATAGTACTACTTTATTTATCCGAGATATAAAGCTATACTCCCCCTAATTCGGTACCTCTTTTGCTACTTCTAACTTTGCGGTATAAAAATAGGCTATCTACGTCGAATACCAAACTTGCGGTGGAACAAAAACATGTGCACAAGGCGAAGAGCGATACAATCGATGGGGAAGACGGGAGCCGTTCAGCAACTGCGTTCCTACAGATACTATCTTCAGAGCCATCATCGCAAAGGGAAGTGCTCTGCGGGAATATTGCACTAGCAAATTTACGTTTTCGTCCGCTGGAGGTGGAAAAGGCAGAAACTTTGCCTTCAAGTCTCGGCTTTACAATAGCGATACGGGCGACCGGGAGCCGGCAAAGTGGATGTATCTCAAGATAGACGGGGCGTATGCTCGATCGGCCCAAAGCGTCGAGGACTGGTCTACTACTTTCGAGATCAATCAGAATGATAAGGTCGAGATGTGTGCCTATCCATTCGACACGGGAATGAATTTGGAACTGGACTGGTCGGCTTCCTTTGCTTAGAGTATACTCTTTTTTTTTCTGTCTTTTAATCCGGCACAACGGCTGCTGTAGCAGAATTTTCAATGGAATTGCCACGCGCTCTGCACGCGTCTATCTTTTCATCTCAACCACAATGACGACTTCTGGTAACAATGTATTTCAATCGTGAATTTTACTCCAAATACATATAAAACAGTAATCTTTATAAATCTCGGAATTTCAAAGAAATATTGTCGAAGCATTCCTCTAGTGAGATGACATCGAATTAGGGCTATTAACGCAGTTGCTATGACCGCTATTGTCGCCATTGCTTGCATTAACTTCACCACCTAGGAGTATCGAAATCGATACCCTTACGATACTTGGAGCTGCCATTTTGCAGTATCTATTTCCTCTTTACCAAGACCTTAGTGTCGTAGTTATTGTCGTTAGCGTTCATGTGTTGTCAGCGCGCAACATCGTGCTGTTTTGTGATATTTCCTTCAAACCCCCCAAACCGCCTTCCTCTCCCCCTCCACACTTTCTCACTGGGGCTACGAAAGAACCACATTCACCCTCCCCCCCTCCAAAAACCCCTCAACATCGATCCATCCACAAACACCGCCATCGGGCATTCGCACCTCGACTCTGGGGTGCGAAGCGGACTGTATGCTCCGGTGACGTGGGCGAAATTCAACTCGGTGGTTAATGCGGGGGCGGGAATGCTTTTTGCGATGGATAATGAGTCGCCTACGCAGATTGTTTTGCGGGAGAGAGGTGGTGGTAGTGGTGGTGGTGGGGGGAAAGGACAAAGTGCGACGTTGCCGGAGTTGAAGTATTGGTCTGATGTCGTGTTTCTGCAGTGGCAAATTGTTACGGGGAAAAAAGCGAATTTACAGTTCGTAGTCAGACTCGGGATTACGAATCAGGCTACCCTCGATATTCTGGAGCAAGTTTTGCGAAAAAAAACGGGTGTGCGTATGAGGAGGGGGTGGTGGAGGTGGAGAAGGATGTTGTTTGGAGGGTAAAGGAGGATGAGGAGAGTGTGACGGCAATTCTGGGGACGCCGAATGGGAGTGGAGTGGCGAGGTTGCTATCGCATCATAAGAGGGAGTTGAGGCATAAGGTTGCGGAGGAGGTGAGTTTAGTGAGGTGGAAGGGAGAGGGGGTTGGGGAGCCGAGTTTGGTGTTTCGGATTGGGAATGTGTATGGGGAGGAGGATGGGGGGAGTCAGGAGACAGTTCGGGGTGGGAGTGTTTTGTAGGAGTAGAGAGTGATTGTTTTTATGGTTGGGTTTTAGTGGGTTTTGTTATACTTGGGCGTTGTTTTGGATGAATTACGATGTACTGATGTGTAACTGGGACTTCGTGAAGTGGGCGTCAACTAGTTCTTTAATACAAAAAGTCTTTTGTCTTCGATCTTTTAACAGATAGTAGATCCCATGATCACTTTCTTCCTCCAGTAACTTGCCCAACATCCACCCTGGACCTATCCTCCTGCCCATTCTCCTTCACACTTCGCTCAACACTATCAAGCAAACTCTCGCTCCCGGTATTAACACCCACGTCACTGCTACCCTCGTACTCTTGCTTCGTATTCTGCGTCACGTCTTCCCCACGACGCTGTTCAGAGGTATCTGAGGCATTTTGTTGGCTGTATGAAGACTAAATGTAAATACTTAGTACGTATGTATGTAAATAGAAATGTCACGTGAAAATCAAGCAGAATGGTACAAAAATGTAGATGATGAGACGTACCTTATCCACTGAAGTACTCAAACCAGCACGATCATTCGAACCCCCAGTCTTGAATGGGACGCTGGGATCGCCTTTAAAAGTGCCAGATGTGTCGTCGCCAGGATTGACGGGGTTCTGGGGTTGTGTGTTGGAAGATTCTTGGGCGGTGAGGGAAGACATTGTGGACTTTTGTGGTTGAGTATTCTCAATATTTGGAAGTTGAACTCTATTCGGCTTTGTAAATCTGAAAAATGAGTTTGAGGCGCCTTGAGTATTCTAGAAGGTTAGATTTTGGTAAGATGTAGTGGTGACGATGTTGCGGGTCAAACGTCATAGTGACCAACGTGTGGAGAGACCCTGAGATCAAGAATCCATCGCTTAAAACGATATAAGCGAATGAAAATCACGTCTTGACATGAATTGTTATAGTCCAGATGAATTCTTTGTGAACATCCAAAATTGTTAATATGCGGTATAACTACAGGCTATTTTCTAAGCAAGATCATCGCTTCAGATAACAAAATCTATTGTCTAGTCCTCTACAACTTGCTCTTGGCAACCGAAGCATCCTCAGAAACAAAAAGCGATTGTGACTTCTTCATCGTCTCGATGGCTTCCCGCTCAATGCGGCTAATAAGCTCCTCGTTGGTGGGGATATCGTGGATCAGTCCAATGACTTGACCAGCAGTCCAGACCTGAGAATATCAGTATTCATCCAAGCAGAAAGGCGCATTGTAAACTTACACCAAAGTCCTTGTCACCGTTCAGGAAGACCTGTCGGCCACGCTTGCCGCTCACAAACTCGGCTACCTCCTCGAACTTGCCCGTTGGGCTGGTCTTCTCAACATTGACAGCCTGCAGAGCAACCTTATTGGCGAACAAACGGGAGGTGTTCTTCCATCGTCGAAGCACCAAAGTAGTGTCTGTTTCCTGAGCATCTACGATGGCTTGCTTGATGTTCTGGTGGATAGGAGCCTCAACGGTACACATGAATCGGGTGCCCATGTTGATACCGCACGCGCCGAGGGCAAGCGCGGCAGCCAAACCCTGACCATCGGCAAAGCCTCCTGAAGCGATGAACGGTACGCCGAGCGACTGGCGGGCTCTGCTGAGCAGAATGAAGTTGGTAATGTCCGTCTCGCCAACGTGGCCGGCGCACTCGAAGCCGTCAATGGATAGGAAGTCAACACCAAGCTTGACAGCAGACTGTGCGTGCCTGATGGTAGTGCACTTGTGTAGGATGATTGTGCCAGCAGCCTTCAGTTGCCTGATAACTGGGCCAGGGCTGTTTCCTGCCGTCTCGACGATGTTGACCTTCTCCTCGATGATGACACGGGCGTACGCGCCATAGTCCGGAGGAACCATGGCGGGAAGGAGGGTCAGGTTGACGCCAAAAGGCTTGTTAGTCATGGTTCGGCATCTTCGGATCTCCTTGCGAAGGTCTTCGGGGGTCGGTTGGGTGAGGGCGGTCAACTACGGGTATGGTAAGGAGCGGCATCTTGACATGGTAATGCGATGTATGCCTACTATTCCAAGACCACCTGCGTTGCTGACAGCCGAAGCAAGCTCAGCGTATCCCACCCATTGCATACCTCCCTGCACAACGGGCACTGTTCACTGTTAGCAACCATACGTCCGAGTCGCAGTGGGAGGTGAACGTGCGTACCTCTGATGCCAAGGGCCCTCGTAAGTTCGGTGTTAAAAGGCATGTTGGGCGCACAGTTGGGTCACAGCAAAAGTCAGTGACGGGTATAAAGGATAAAGCGACTGCTGAAAACAAGAACGTGGGAAGAAAGATATCTAAAACGTGGAGGCGCGACCTGGAGACGCTCGCGCCAGTTGGGGCATGTCAGGTCGTGTGGGGAAGCCATGTGCCTCGGCAACTCGGGCAGCGCGACGCCAAACCAAGGTAAATGTCCGTCAGATGATTACTCTTGCACCGATTCGCCTACTTTTACGACTCAACATGGCTGAATCGCCGGGTACAATTTCTTTTGGCAATGACGCGCCCCTCGTCTGATGAATAATATTGCCGGTGTATTCAGCAGCAAAAGTCAACGAGGAACATCTGTCACATGCTTCTTGGCACTGTCTAGTAGTCAACATTCTACACATCTATTTCATCGTACTCAGCCAAGTAAATTGTACCAGTAGTTTTTGATGAGAAATAATAGCATAAATGAACATAGCTTCAACTAAACCCTACAGTTAATCCCAGGGGTTTTCGTGCGTGGAGAAATGCGAGCAAAAGCACTGGTTAGCTAGAGCAGCAAGAGTACATCAGAAGAAAGGTAGAGTAATATGAAGCCGAAGCTGCACCACTCTTCTGTGCCGCTTGCGGGTTGTGATCATGATATCCGGTGTGGCTGGTGGGCGACAGCTGCAGACCAAAGTACGACTACGTAGTACAGCAATTCAACCCTATTCTAAACCATACCAAACACCGCCTCTATGCATAGCCTGGAATTCTGAATCAAGCCAAATACTCCCACCCTCTCAACGCTATGAACGCAGCTTCCCAAGCCCGAATTTTCTCGAAAAGTAAAGGTCCTAGAGGAGTCAGAAAAAATACGAGTGGGAAAAGCTATGAGTGATGAATCACTTACCCAAAAGCCACGAGGAAGAAGCCACGAAAGCCATCTAACTAGATTCGATTGATGGCCACGCCACAGCCATGCTTTGGAGGTTGGCTCGAGTAGGTCGCTGACAACTTTCCGCGCATATGTTTCTGTCGGCATCGCCGTTCCTGACAAAACATTAGCATCTTACTTAACCCATGGAGTTTCTTTGGCCTACGCTGAGAGTTCCCTTGACGGAACAAATAGTCTTCCTCTATAGGCATGTACAGCGAATTTGGTGGAAGACGCTTCTTGACATCAGATATCCTACTCTTCACACCACCAGTCACGACCAGAACAACTTGAACACTACTCGTAGTCAGTCTCTCGCACGATGCTCGGCTATATGGCAAATACATACCCAAACGGCGCCATCTCTATTCTAAGCGCATCCGTATATGAATGCAGCGCTGCCTTGGACGCATTATAGCATCCTATTCCGCGTCAGCTAACCGGCATATCCAAAAGAAAGAAACGAATACATACCACCGAATACATACGGTACAATACCAGCAACAGACCCTATATTGGCAATCTTTCCTTTCGCTTCTATGAGAAGCGGGGCAAAAGCCTGCACCAAACGAATACAACTAAACACATTAATTTCGAACACCTTGCGCATATCCTCGATTGTTAGGTCAAGCACTGGGACTGTGTGGCTTACGCCGCTGTAGTATTGCGTCAGCACCTCTCTTCACCCAACTCCCACACGCAACGAACAAAGAAATAAAGTAAAGGGTAGTACAGGGTCCAAGTTACTCACACATTGTTAACCAAAATATCAAGCTTTCCATCCACGCGCTCGGAAATCTCATCATGCAGCGCCTGAATACTCGCATCGGACGTAACTTCAAGCTGGATTGCTATGACGCCCTCACTCACAAGCGTCTTTTTGGCTTCTTCGGATCGAACAGTGCCGAATACTTGGAAGCCGCGGCGGAGGAATTCTAGAGCGAGTTCGTGGCCGATGCCGCCGGGGGTGCAGCTGTGGTAGGGGTTGGGTGTTAGGTGTGTGGCTTTCGGAATAGATAGAGGGGAGGGAGATGCTCAAGGCTCGTACCCCGTGATTAAGGCGGTTTCTTGACGGGTGGTCATGTTTCTTTTGGGTGTGTTTTGCGATAGTGCAAGTGTTGGTGTGGAGTTTCTGACGGGCCTTTCTCTGGCCTTTGATCTCGTATTGTATCTGTAACTTTTGTATTGTCGATGTGGCTGAAGAAAGATTCAATAATTCAATTTTCGTGAAGAGAAATGTCGAATTCATGGAAGAATTTCCGGGAGTATGATATATAGTCATACCGCTTCCGTGGTGTTTTAAGTCCCGGAGGTACGAGTATTATGATTCGGCGCTCGGGAAACTGGGCAGGCCGCCGACATTTCCGTGGAAGCACCGTCACATCAAGAACAATGCACCCGACACGTTGATTTATCGCTCTATTTAGACTTCGCTAAGGTAATGAATGAAAAAAACAAGGTGCTCTCTGGATGTATAGTGACACTCGGTTCCCATAATGGCCAGGCCTTTTACTACGGCTTGGTTCTAGGGAAACACGGATCTACTCTGACTGAATTGATTGGGACTAAGCACATCGAAAAGAGGGACGAAGATGAAAGAGGCTGATGACAAGCTATGATACAGTCTTTATCTTAGTCAGGGTTTGGAGTTCCAGACTGCAATGAAGGGTCTGAAAAGTGGACATCAGAACATAACCCTTAACCCGTACTTTGCCACAAGCTCGTAGAGTATGTATGATATATTAGCTACGGGAATTTCGACTCGATTCAAATGATAATGACCATCGGTTCTTCCACTGCTTCTATTCCCAAAAATATCCAACCTCTTCCATACAAAAAGCCGTCTGCACTCCAGCCTAAAGATGATACTTGAACAACGGACTCCTATCTCCCATCTTTTCCAACTGCGCAGGGGTATATATAGCGCGCCACTCCTCCTCCGTCTTTTCCGCATTCTTCTTATTAATCCTGAAGAACAAGAACTCAAGCGTGAAGGCACACACGAGCCCCGCTGCAGCAAATGAGAGCGACGAGCCGAATCCCGTTTCGTATTTAGGCGACTCTTTTTCCTGGAAAATGAAGGAGCCGACGATGCCTCCTAGGTTGCCGATGCAAATCATAGTTGCGATACTATTTTGAAGAGTCAGTTTTCCATGTTCATATCGGCGTTAATGTCATGATAGAGTGGGAACGACGTACCCGACAGCTCGCTTTTCGGGTCCGGCAAGGTTATTAATGGTCCAGGCATTGCATCCGGGGAGAATAGGGTAGAGGCCGATGCAAGCGACGTGAACTGCAAAGTAACAAACTGCGACGTTTTCCTTGATGGCTTCTGCTTTGGCGAATAGAATGGCGTATGCAATGATGAGAAGAGCCTGTCCGCTGGCGATAAAGGGCATACGCCATGTAAACCGATCAGCAAGTAGGGAAGATACTAATGCTGAAATTGCGCCACATGCATACGGTGGTGCAGTCATGAGTTGTGCGGTCGTACTTGTGAAACCCACTGTTGGGACCATAAGTATTTTTGAATGGATGCGAGCTGGTTGTACGACTTACTGTTCTTCAGAATCTGAGGCATAGTAAATTTTAGTCCGTAGTTTGGTACAGCGTTACTCGCAAAGACCATAGCTTGCAGGTATATCTGCCAGTCTTTTATAACCTGACCGATGACACCCCATTTGACCCTCTTTTTCTTGCCCTCGGCATTGACCTGTCTCTCTCGCTTGAGACCGCGCGTGACAATGTGTGTGAGGCGAAGGAAGCGCGCTTCGTCGGCTGTGAGCCATCGACCGGCTGCGTGATCGGGCGAGTCTGGCAACAAAAAGAAAACTGAAGCGCCTAATAAAACAGTGGCTATTCCTTCCAGAATGAAGATCCATCTCCAACTTCATGCCCAACTATGTCAGTTCTCAGTCTTTCAGCAAGATGCTCAGGGCGACACTCACCCCTCAAGTCCAGCGATACCTATATCCAATGGTCAATTACGCTCGGAAGTTATCGCAGAGAACTTGCATACCATTCATTTTAGCAATCGCAGCAGCCAAAAGTCCAGAAAACGCTCCACTCGTAGCAGACGCACAGTAAAACAACGCCATACGGAACTGCGTACGGTCTGGCGGGTACCACTGGCCAACGAGGTAGATAGCGCCAGGGAAAAAACCGGCTCTGTGGTTGCTTAGCAAAGTGTTCCAGTTCACAGTTGTGGACAACGAACTCAAATAAACCAAGGAAAAACCTCGTAGCGCAAAGACCCGCAAGATTTTGTACCAGTCCCATGACTGTCATAACGGTACCCCAGCACAGCGTCAGCGTACCCATGTAGTACGATGGGCGTTTGAACTTTGCGAGAATCATATTGGAAGGGATCTCGAAGAGGACATATGGGACGAAGAAGACCATGAGCGCAACATTGTAATCTGTGCCTTTCATACCCAGAGTTTTCTCGAGGCCTTCGATCTTGGCATTGCTTTTATGTAAAGGTTAGCGGAAGCTTGATATGCTTGCTTGAGCAAAGGGATGTTTCTAACCCAATGTTTGCCCTGTCGAGATGAGAGATGAGGTACAAAATAGCAAGCATGGGACATAGGCGCCAGTCAACCTTGTGGAAAATCTTCTTTTGCTCCGCCTTGTCGACGCTGTAGAGAAATTCTGCATCTTCTTGGCTCAACCCAGCTCTCATTGCCTGGTGCAAATGATCCGGTAAGCCTGCAAGTGATGACTTTTCGTTAGGAACCTCTTCCATGGTATAGGCATGGTCTTTGGACTCAGAATCATCCATTGCGTCGCGCGCCATCTTGACTGTTGTTGACAAAAGGGATGTCGATGGGAAATTCAACAGGCTCCAGCCGACAGAAATGCAAGATGGGACAGCAGAACATTATACATCACCGCGAATCCTTACCCGTAGTCGTGCCACATATTAGCGAGGACTGGCATTATCTCCACCGTCGACCCCTCATGCACGTGGGCATGTGAGCTCACCATGGAAACTCGGCACTGTTAATGCTCATAAGCCGGTACCAGAACTGGATCCGAGAAGCTTGGATAGTGTTAGTGACTTCTTAGTCCTCATATTTATGCATAAGAGTACTAGACTCAATGTAATATGAACGTCGCTGCTACTGAGTGTACTCAGCAAGCCTTAAGCTACTTTCGAATGTCTATGTTATTTAAGAAGAAATCTCGTTTCTTAACCCAAAAGGCTCCGAATCTTACAAAACTCAGTATGGCACATCAGAAATCTCGCTCAAGATGTCCTTCTAAGCCAAATATTTGGATAGTTACTTGTGGCAGGATTGTCCAACGTGGCATGTAAAGCGATTTGCCCTTCCTCGGTTTAGTACCACGTTACGATTTGGCACTTCCCACAATACTGGTTGGACACAGGTGCGAAGCACAAGGGTAACAGTACCCGATCATAACCACCTACCCAATACAGTTCAGTTGAATGCAGCGTTACACAGAAAATTGGAAAACATGGTCTGTGTGATACGGAGAGCCAAGCCCTGGGGTAAGGCGGGGATGTGACGTGGGAGCCTCCTTGGCAGTGTCTTGTCATAACGGTGACTCGGGGAAGATTTTTGCGATCGCGATAACATTGGGCGAAAGCACAGTCGCTTGTCAACTGCCGATGGTTTGCCAAGCCTGTGTCTTCTCATGCTTGGGTTATCGGATGAGCTGACTGACTCGTTGCAGGCTCAGGAGCGGGTAAAGCACCTTGATTTCACTGCGACTCGCTATACTACTCAGGAATGAAGAAAAGCAAGTATTGTACGATGTATGATGGTGGTAAGGCGGCCGGTAGCTGGTCTAAGTACTTCAGATAGTGCCAAGGCGCTATTCCTTACACAGTACATAGGGCTATAACAAACCACACTGCATATTTCCAAGTTGATCGTTGTAAAGATCCTTGTGCTAGCCATTGGCTGTGGAAGTCTCGATCAAGAGGGTAGGCTCGTGCGTTGGTGGTATTTTCAGTGTGGAACAGCCTGACTGTCATACTTGGTAATAGCAGCTTTACTTCTTCAGTAATGTTTTACTACATGTGACTCTGCTCAGGATTATGCATATGCGTATATTGCATTGTCAGCTCACCTTCTTCGTCTCTTCTTTCCAGTGTGCTGCAGTTGGCATATGTATGTGGTATTGTCATAAATTCATGCCACGTAAGGGTGTTAGCATGCATGCTGAACCAACAACAGTTGATCTTGTCACAGAATCCTTGTTGTTCCTAGAGTATCAATATCACAACTGGCATCTCAGGGGACTGGCATCCAACTGGCATATGCCATAATTCTCTCAATCTCCGACACGCGCATAGGAGTCAGCGGTACCGATTGTTATGTCTGCGTGGCGTTGCATGATGGGGATGCATAGTATTAGAACATCTGGGTGGCTTGTTCCTTCCTGGGCTCGCGAGTTTTAGAGCTATTATTCTTCTACTAAATGAGACAAAGGCCACGATCTTATCTTCATTTACATCACATCTGATATCTTATAAATGGAAAAATTAGCCCAGGAAGGGAATACCTGCGGAGATGTGCAGTCAGACTACGATTATGTAAGCACCGAAGGTAACGTGCGGGATCAGTAAGCTGGGCAGATCAGTAAGCTGGGCACCCCACCAAGCTTGACGCGACGCTCTCCACAACCACCACCATGCCGCGACAACAACGTTCTATACAGACTTCTCGTGAAGGCAGAATAAGCCTTNCTATCGCGTCTTATCGTAATAATCCAAAACAATCTATTCGTGCTCTCGCAAAAGCTTTTAATGTACTACAATCTACACTACACACACGTATCCATAGTATCCAACCATAATTAGAAATAGCCTCTGTCAACCGCAAGCTATCACCTATTAAAGAACAGTCTCTTATACAGTAGATTCTAGACCTTAACCAACGTGGTTTTCCGCCCCATATTATTAACGTACGACGGATAGCAGACGCTCTACTTACTGCGCGCGGCTAAGATCCACCTCCAGCACCTATTAGCAAGAAATAGGTATCGCGCTTTATCCAGAGCTAGCTAGAGCTTTAGATAAAATAGACTAGACGATTATATAGTCAGCGTGCCTCCTATAAGAATCCTATCGCGATTATAGCCTAGTTTAAGCTAGTAGAGGAGACGCGCCAGACGTACGGCGTTCTAAATCAAGACATCTATAACTTTAATAAGACTAGATTCGCGATAGGCGTCGCTAGCACGTTAAAAGTCATAACTAGCTCTAATAGAGTTAGTAGAGCAGTCGTTATACAGCCAGGCAATCGCGAGTGGGTAACAGCTATCGAGTGCATCAACGCGTCTAGCTAGTATCTTCCACCGTTTATAATACAGCTATGTTTCATAAATCTGGCCTTGCCAAGCTCCACCACCCCACTAACACCAACCCCACCCACTTTTTTGAATGCCCACCACCAACGCTACACCACGCCGATTCGGCCAAGAGGTATCTCAAAATGTGCGCCGTCGTCGAAATATAACGACTATAGAGCGTAACATTGCGATTAGGATGTTACGCGCTGGCGCAAGCTTCAAAGAAGTAGGTAAGGCTTTTTACCGTGACCCCTCCGCGATTAGAAAATTGCAGAAAAAGTTCAACCTTACCGGCAGTACTAATGATAAACCTCGCTCTGGGCGTCCAAGTATACTATCGCCTCACCAGAGAAAGCTTATCTATCAGCTAGCACGAAAATCGCCAAAGATACTATATAAAATACTTGCTGAAGAGGCAGTATTTATAAACGCTGATAGGACCCCTTCGAAGCTCTCTAGCCGTACCACACTATACCGAATCCTTAAGCGACATAATCTTACTAAATACTGCTGCAAAAAGCGTCCAAAGTTGGATCCCCAGCGTGCTCGTCAGCGATACCAATTCGCATGCCAATACCGGAGCTTTCCTTAGCATAGGCGCATAGTCAAGTTCACAGACGAGTGCTCAGTTCAGAAGGGCTCTGGTGCTACACAGGAGTGGTGTTTTCGATATCCAGAAGAGAAATGGAAGCGCAGGATGATTACGGAGGCTCTGCCTATCCAGGACCCGCAGCAGATAGTGTGGGGGGCTATATGGGTGGATGAACGTGGGCGGGGGCGACGGAGTCCTCTCGTGATCATGGAAAGGGATCCCTATGCTCCCCGCGGTGGGTACAGCGCCCAAAGTTACATCCAATGCCTTAAACAAGGTCTCGTACCTTACTGGAGGCCTTCTCAGCTTTTTATGCATAATAACGCGCGCATCCATACCGCTCGTAGTATCCGCAACTTTCTCACCACCCACCAGATTACACCTCTCAACTAGCTAGCTTATTCACCAGACCTCAACCCTATTGAGCACCTCTAGTGGGCCCTTAAACGAAACATGGATCGCTTCTATCCACAGTACTATAACTATAGCAAAACTTAGGAAGAATGGGATGGTTTTTGTAGGGCTCTAAGAGATAGCTGGCGCAGGATACCCAGCAGCCAGATCGCGGCACTAGTTAAGTCAATGCCGCGCCGCCTCCGCGCCTGCCGCGAGGCACGAGGTTGGCAAACTAAATACTAGTATACGAGAATCAATTCCATTTTTCAAATTTAAGAAATATGAAGTTTTGGTGGAGATATTGGTGGTAACAGCACGGGCGTCAATATTTGATGATGGCGGGGTTTCGGCTAGCGAGGCCAGACTTATGAACTAGTACTGTACTATCTAGTAAGGTCCACTAGAGTAGCTAGTACCGCGACCTCCCACAAGACTGGACTGTTGCAGTATTAGACAACGGCTGGACGACTGATCAGCTTAGTATAGAGTAGATAAAGCACTTTAATTAGCATACAGCTGCTCGTATAGCTAGAGTCTATTAGCTACTTATTCTAGACGGCTATAGTAGCCACGCCACGCCAGAGTTTGATTAGTACTGCGCTAAGAATAAGATTATCACTCTCTGTATGCCGCCTTATACGTCGCACCTCCTCCAGCCTCTAGATATAAGCTGCTACTCTCCTCTTAAGCGCGTATATAGACGCGAGGTTAAGAAGCTTACCCGCTATAGGGTCTACCACGTTAATAAGATAGACTTCCTTACAGCCTATATACGGATCTGGCCGACAGTTTTCACATAGCAGAACATCTAGGCAGGCTTTTAAGCAACAGGGCTTGTCTCTCCTTATCTAGATCGCGTACTATCGTCGCTCACCGTAGCTAGAACACCGTCTCCGCTATAGATAACCACAGACAATAACGCCGCTGCGCAGACAGAGACGCCTTATACAGTAGCAGAGCTTTAGCAGTAGGTACGCTATCTCTAAGAGCGGCTACGCCGAAAATCCAAGAGCCTAATAAGCGTTACGATACGCCAGCTTACTAAAAGCGCTTAGCTTACAATGCAATTAGTAATAATACTTATAGAGGAGAATAAGAAGCTACGTGCAGAAGTCCAGCGTTAACGGCAAAAGTAGAGTTAGCAGCGTCAATATATTACTTCTAGTGGGGTACTCTAGATACAGCGGGCTCAGCAGCTTACTGTAGAGGTAGAGAGGATAGTCATGGAGGCTAGCCAGAGCCAGGCTGGTGAGCGACGTCAGCGCGCGCCGCCGACGTGTACAAAGTGCCATATTCAAGAGCATACTCAGACTTCATGCAGAGCTATCTAAAGAATTATACCTCTTAATTTTATTTTATTTTATTACGTTATTGTGGCTCAATTGCACAGAGAGTCGCGTCAAGCTTGGTGGGGTGCCCAGCTTGACGCGACTCTCCTCACAACCACCACAATGCCGCGACAGCCACGCTCTATACAGACTTCTCGTGAAGGCAGACTTTGGCTTGCTATAGTATCGTATCAAAATAACCAAAAATAATCTCTCCGTGCCCTTACAGCAGCGTATAATGTGCCAGAATCAACGCTACGAGCGCGTCTCCGCGGTACCTAGCCACGATTAGAGATAGTCTCTGTTAATCGTAAACTATCGCCAATTAAAGAGCAGTCTCTTGTACAGTAGATCCTAGGCCTTAACCAGCGTGGTTTTCCACCCCATATTATTAACGTACGACGGATAGCAGACGCTCTACTCGCCGCGCGTGACTAAGATCTACCTCTACAGCCTGTAGGCAAGAAATAGGTATCGCGCTTTATCCAGACTCAGTCTAAGCTTTAGACGAAGTAGACTAGAAGACTGTATAGTTAGCGTGCCTCCTATAAGGATTCTATTATAATTATAGCCTAGTTTAAGCTAGTAGAGGAGACGCGATAGACGTACGGCGTTCTAGATCGAGATATCTATAACTTTAACGAGACTAGATTCGCGATAGGCGTCGCTAGTACATTAAAAGTAGTTACTAGCGCTAACAGAGTAGGTAGAGCAGTCGTCGTGTAGCTAGATAATCGCGAGTGGGTGACAGCTATCAAGTGTATCAACGCGTCTAGCTAGTCTCTTCTACCGTTCATTATTCTCTCTAGCAAAGTCCACTAAAGTAGCTAGTATAATAGGCTTCTACTTAACTGGACTATCGGCGTCTTAAATAATAGCTGGACGACTGACGAGATTAGCGTAGAGTAGGTAAAGTACTTTAACTAGCATATAGCTACTCGTACAGCTAGAGTCTATCGTCTGCTTATTCTAGATAGCTATAGTAGCCACGCTACACCTGAGTTCGACTAGTACTGCGTAGAGAACAACATTATTCCTCTCTATATGCCGCCTTATACGTCGCATCTTCTCTAGCCTCTAGACGTAAGCTGCTTCTCCCTACTAAAGCGCGCGTACGGACGTGAGATCGAGGAGCTCGCCTATTAAGGTCTCCACTATATCGATAAAGTAGACTTCCTTATAGTCTATGCACGAATCCGGCCGACAGTATTCACGCAGCAGAATATCCAGGCAGGCTTTCAGGCGATAGGCCTTATTCCTCTCTCTCTAGAGCGTGTTTTATCATCACTAACAGTCGTCCAGACGCCATCTCCACCACAGACGACTATAGATAGAAATGCTATAATACAGGTAGAAACGCCGCATATAGTAGAGCAGCTTCGGCAGCAGGTGCTCTATCTCTAAGAGCGGCTCCGGAAGTAGTCAGATAGCCCAACAAGCGTTGCTATACGCCAGCTCGCGAAGAGTGCGCAGCTTACAATACAATCTGTAACAATACTTATAGAGGAGAATAAGAAGCTACGTATAGTTAATCAGCGCCAGCAACGGAAGCAAGGCCAGTATCGTCAATATATCGCTTCTAGTAGAGTACTACGGGTAGAGCAGGCCCAGCAGCTCGCTGTAGAGGCAGAAAGAGTGGTCATGGGCACTGATCAGAGCCAGGCTGGTGAGCGACGTCAGCGCGCGCCGCCGACGTATTCAAAGTGCCATCTTCAAGGACACACTCGCACTACGTGCAAGACTAAATAATATATTATATCTTTAAATTTCATATTATTTTATTGCGTTGTTGTGGATCAATTGCGCAGAGAGTCGCGTCAAGTTGGGTGGGGTGCGCAGCTTACTGATCCGCGCAGCTTACTGATCCCGCACGTTATAATCATTTCACATCTTGACGGGCGCAAAAAACTAGGATCGGTAACTGAAACCACTGTCTAAATCTTTTACGAATGCTATCACTCATTTGAAATATCTGGGGTGGGTACTGGCCCCACAGGTGGCTTGCTTGTAGGCATGAAGGCCTGGTGTATCGACCTCTTACCCCAACTAGCAGGGTAGTCGATATTCGAATGGAGCAGGCCATAGCTCCCGAAGAGAACCAAGTCGTGCTCTTCCTCCGGACCTACCCAAATATTCTCAGGCTTAATAATTCTGCTTTGGATCTTATCCAAAAACCTCCTCACTTCGCCCAAGTCATCGATAATCTTCGGAGTCTCATCTGGGCCGTTGCGAATATATAATCGACGAACCAAGTGATGCATACACTGGAATGACTTCTTGCCGGTAACAGGGTTAACCCATACCAGCGGGTACTACAGCGTTGTTAGTTCTTAATAGCGTAAGCTTCCTCTAAGTATAAACATACCCTCTTTTGCCAGTCTTTACTTGCCCCTACGTACTTTAGCAGTTCTTCTTCTGGCTGCTCTCTGCCCTCAGTCACCACGCCTAGGCCGTTCGGTGCATAATGACAGTCCTTGAGATTCTCAAATGGGAAGTAGTTGTAATCAGCCCAACTATGATCTGCCATTCTCTTCTCCTCGTCGCTTAGCATGTCGTACAACTGTTCAACGTCGAGAAACGCCTGACGTCCTGGCCGAACTTCCATAGTCGTACCTGAGCCGTCAGCCCATTCTACAGTTTGCTTATCCAGGCCTTCCGTAGGAAACTTGATCGGTCGGAGAATAGTACACTTTGAAATGCCATGTCGCCAATAGAATCCGTTCATGTACCACATGTGGAAACGGGTACGTCCAGCTTCAAAGTCCTCGTCTGAGAGCGGTACACTGTAGTAATGACTGAGGTTAGCGTCGCCCATGTCTAGACCTGGTTTGCCGTAGCGCGGGTCGTCTTGGGGGCCTTTCCCAATGAAGTAGAACAAACCCGCATCAGGAACCTTGATAGCTTGGAAGGAGTCCTTTATCAATGTTAGCACTTTGCTAGACTTGCTGTGATGTGGATGTTCTAGCCAACTTTCGACTTACCCGAAACCACTGGTGAGGATGAAATAAGTTAATCATGTCGTCGTCGTCCTCAATTATCATGTCTGGATCGAGCGCTCGCAGCAATTCCCAGGAACGCCTCGGTTTAAGGTCATGTTGACCTTTGATAATAAGAAGCTTATGCTCCCAGATCGCTTTCTCTAATTGAGCCACAATCTCTTCAGTAAAATTGTTTAGATCAAGACCTGTAATAACAGCTCCAAACTAAACAAAGTATTATAAGCAGAGGTAATGTATAGTCATATTATAGAGACTAGATGAATCCTACCTTGCATGTCTTCCCTTCAGGATGGACCAGAGGCTCGATCTTGAAGTTGCTCGCCATGGTGTTTAGAATAAGAGACAGGTGTACAAGCTGAGTTTTGCGTGCATAGAATGTCGATTGCAGCTTGGCGATTAATAAATGATAAAATATTCATTTACTCTAGTGATACCATACGTTTTCTTTCTACAGCCCTATTCACATGTTCGGGGAGTTTTATCGACAAATTTAGTAAGTCAAAAGTAGACGTCGGGGTCCGATATGGACTAAAATATACCGAGGCCCGCGGCTTGCTTGCAGCCCCAAACATCGCGGCAATTAAGTACATTTCGAAAAACTATATTCATTACCATGATAGTAAAATAGTAGTTTCTCTGAACTAATACGCTTCTCTTATTAATCCGCTCTTATGTACCTCTTAGGCTGTATTCAGAGCGGCTATTATGTAACTACGCTAAATACGTGTTGTAGTATAGTACTATGTAATTACACTTTGAATAAATATTATCATTTTCTCTAATCCAAAACAATTACCTTGTATTATGAATTCCTTAGCAGGAACTGGACTTGGAATTTGTTACACTGTTCTGTAGTTTTTGAAACCTAGCATAAAAAACGTTACTCAATGAAATATCTACATATATTTAACTAGTCTAGCATTGTGAGCAGCTTATCAAATGCTGTTCTTGACTAGAAAAACAAAATCCCGAATGCCCAGAGCCTCACAACCTTTCGTGAACCGTTCCTCGAACACCAACTACCTGAATACCATCTCCATGCATGCTGTAAGGCACAAAGGTTTTCCGTTCCAGGCCCACTGTTTCTAGAAGGCGATCCCACTCATTCAGCGACCGCTCGCGTGCACCATAGTTGGCCATCATGAGCAGATCAAACGAGGCACCATACCAATGTGCGCCCTCATCGTGAATGATGAGCTCATCCAGCAGAATAACCGAGTCCGGAGCGAGGACCTCTTTAATTTGGGAGAGAATACTAAAGCAGGCTTGATCAGGCCAGTCATGCAGAATATTTCGCAGATAGTAGATGCAGGCCCCCTTAACTGGTTGAGGCTGGGTGAAGTCATGGTGAACAACCTTTAGTCCTTCAATGGCCGTTGCTGAGTCGATAGCTGCCCCGTGGGTATCCTGCAGCACAACACGCCCTTGCAGCCAGGGAAACCTCTTCAATGCCTCCCGGCACTGGTGCCCATAGCCGCCTCCTACGTCCACAAAGAGCGTTCGGTGCTCATCCCCTGTGCTGGACTTGTGCATATAATTCTCAAGTGGAAATACATCAAGCCAGCTCTTTTGCCCAACCCGCTGGAACGACATATACTCGTTGAAGGCTTGTTGGTGCCGCGGTCGCTGCGACAACCATTCAAAGAAGTGTAGATTGGTGTTCTTGGAGAGTTGGAATGGGAGGTTTTTGTTATCCTGAGGCTGCTTATACGAGTTCTCTGACATCCACTTTGGTATGGCATTGTACACTGCAATGTTTCTCTCGGTCCTGTATAGCAAAATCAATCATAATACAACGAAGAGACCTAGATCAAGAAGTCAACTTACACATGGAACATGACAGACTCTAGTCCCGACATGGACAAGTAGTGCGTTATATTTGTCGCCCGGTATTTGTCGATATCAACCTGCTCCACCATCCACTGCGTCGCTGCGTAGCGCAGTATTCGTACAAGTAGTGGCTTTTCAACGCCCAATTCGGTGGCCAGTTCACTAGCGCTCATGGCCGCCCCCCTTCGCTCAGAAAGGAGTCTCCACAGCCCCAGATTAATACCCACCTGCGCCATGTTGGGCGGCAAAGCACAGAAGATCAGCCGCTGCATAGTATCCCACGTTTGCTCGAGCTTCAAAGAAGCCATTCTAGCAGCTTCAAGAAAGCGTAAGCGTTTTTCCTCATCATTGCGGAGGGAGATGGGGATGTTTCCTGCCGCCAGAGACTCTAGAGAGTCGAGGATAGTATCGGCTGCAATACTATCATGGAGATGAGTGTTTGCAGTTTTGGGTAGAGATGATATCGAAGCCATGATTGCAACTGAATCGGTGATTGGTTGATACAGAAGCTGCTGGTAGGAAAGTTAAGACAGTTTTTGATGAGTAGCATACCGAGTTATATGCGAGTATGGTAAAATGAGTAGAAGGCGATATGGTCCTGGATAGAGAAGATCAGTGCATCAATCGGTATGTTGATTCAAAATTGCCAAGAGATTTCTGCATTATCGGTCGCCGAAGCAGTGGTTCTAGAACATCTTGTTTAATTTAGGGATAGCATTCAGAACTTGAAACAGGAATTCTCGTACTATCATAGCGTCCTCTGCTATGCACCGAAATTGAGGGGAAAAAACCAGCCGAGCTACCAACATGGCAGCTGGTTTAACCTTCCGAGTCAGTGTCTGACCAACTCAATCACGTCTCCCGTAAAACTTCGTCTACCTGGAGAGACAAGGACCCCAAGAGAAAGAATATCTTGAACCACTCGACGGATGCTACTTATTGACCGAACTCTCGCTCCTTCTTTAGTGTTGGTTTGATTTGAAGTCAAACAATCGGTGGGATAGCCTTGATATTGAATTAGTCCAAGGTCGTCAGTATGTATGGCCACAAAATGACGTGAAACACGCGTGTAACGACGTTGGTTGCAGGAACTCAGATATGCATGCGTATCTGCATTTCAACTCGATGATATCTTGGCTTGTAGCCATACCCTCCTGTGCTTTTGACGAGCATGACTTCGCCCAAGCACAATGCAACGCAGCCCAGTCAATTGAACGCCGATGCATAAAAAAGAAAGGTGACCAATATCATCTGTACGGCTGAAAGCAGTTGGGCTCCTTTCCCATTCCCCTGGATTCATTCCCTCCTACATCTGTAGCTTTATAATCTCCACTTTCTCCGCCACTTTCCTCGCACACTCGCCTACTAAACTTTCACACAGTGCTAGGAGCTGGTTCTTCATCGTCGCATCCTCGCTGACTAGCAGCCCTGACAGCAGCATGTCCCGCAGTCGCTCGAGCACCCCTTGCACCTCGAGCACCCGCTTCATTAGCAGCACCCGCATCATGACTCGCCTATCGGCACCCCGGATCGGCAATGTTCCGCAGCGCAGCGGCTCGCACTCGTCGTCTGCTGGTGGAAGCATGATGTCATTGTTACTCTTACCACCGCTTGTACTGCATGACGAAGATGATTGGGGTGATGAGGAAGTCCCGCTTTCGTAGTTGTGTATGGGCGCCAGTATCGATGTCCACATCGAGATGCCGTCCGGTTTGAGCGCGATGAGAGCCCTGTCAATGGCCTGGCAGATGATGAGCGCCATCGAAGGCCGCATATAGCATGCGTTGGGGCATCTCATCGCGTTGCGGCAGCTGGTGATGAGTATTCGAGACGTAGAGAGGCCGGCCGAAGTCGACGCAGGATATGAAATAGGTGATGCATGCGATAGGTGGTCAAGGAGAGCGGATGTACAGCTGCATGATATTTTCGATGGAGTACCATGATCCAAGGAATGGATAAATTGTAGTTGTGTCTCTTGTTGCAGAGAAATTTCGTAACTACAGCTTTCAATACTACTGCTACTTGTGGCTGGGATTAGCGGTTCTTCAAGTTGCTGATCCGGATGATGGCGTGGTTCGTGGTTGTCTGGAGTAAGCAGCTCACAGTATGGGAGCCCTTCATCGAGAAGTATGGGTGTGGAAATGTAGAGTTGTTGCTGCTGCTGTTGTTCCCATGTTGCCCCACAGAAACCTGTATCGAGAGGCTCTGGACCAATGTGGAACTCGGGCGACATGGAAAAATGACAATTTCCCATTTCCTTGGAGGTATTGTAATGTGAACTGGTGGGGTCTGGTAGGCCGTGTAGAAAGCTATCATCTAGCAACTGACTTGGAGAGAAACCCGCATTGTCGGAGCCCGGCCCTTGAATAGTCGGCGTCATACTGAGGATGGCAGATGTGTTGGACATCATGCTGTGCGGAGCGACAGGCGCCATCCAAAACGATGCTGAAGTGGTGATGTCAGACTCTGTCGTAGGTGCCGAATCCCCCTTCGAGCTTGCGGGCGCACTATTATCAGTGCTCTGGGAGGGTTTGCTGTTATTGCGAGTGCGTGGTCGTCCTGCACGCCTTGCTGGGCTGTACACACACTCTATGCCTTTCTTCGCACATCTGCGACATTTCGGCCGTTTCTGATCACATCGGATCTTGGACTGCTGACAGCTGTCACACGCAAGTCGGTACTTTGGGGGTTTTTGCGTTGAGGAGCTTCCCTTCACGCTCAAGTCATTCTTCTGGCTACCTGATTCGGCGTTGACACTCGTTTGAAAAGTCAGTAAGTAGTCGCGATATTGCGGTACATATGTGTCCTCATAGTCATAAGACATGTGCACATATAGTACATCTTGAGGCTTACTATTCGGCCATCGTATCCATGCAGAAAACAAAATGTACCAGATGGCTATTAGTGCAGCAGTACTGGACTCTTGTTCACTATATGATATAAAAGGTCCTCAAATCAGTATACAATCAGTGGTTCTATCCGCTGTGTACCAATCTTCAAACTTCATAAAAGTTGGGCGTTAATATATTATACTGCACTAACGCGATTCCTCGCAATCGATCCTAGTAGATCCTTGTGCGGCAAACTCGATAGTGCTTCGTGCAAATTCCTTGTTGTATCAAATCGATCGAGCGAGCGGCTTGATCCGGGAACGCCGAAACAGCGAGCGACGTTTAAAAGGGCCTTCCTCGGTCGCACGTACTATACACTGTAGTACCAGCATTGGGAGAAGAGACCTCAGGGCCTTACCATCTCCATCTGATTACCGTCTTACGCGGTCGCTTTGCGCGTCGACATGGGAGGCTAGTCAGCTGCTTACGTAGTAAGCTAGGCTACCAAGATAGGCATGAAATACTAGAGTTTTAAAAACGAAATCGATCTCTAGAGCTCTAGCTAGTAGCGTTGAACGACGCTTTACTAAATACTAAGTAAGCTATTTCTATCGCCGTTTTCTAGACGGAGCTCTCAATCCAGTTAACAACCGGTAAACGTAATCCAGTTAGCAAACGATAACGTGGCCGAACACACCCTAAACGATGCAAAGGACAGAGCCAGTGTTTCCGGGCCGAAGTGACAAAAGGGCCATATCAGCTCGCATGATTAGATCTGTACACCATTTGGGAGCGCCTGCCGTTGATCTGCACAAGTTCTCTTTACTCCAGCCCTGCGTATGCCTCTTCCAGTTCACTCGTTTGTTGGCCCATCCAACCAATCAGTTGAAAGATGAGATATACCGGAAATCAACCGAAGAAAACTCACTTAAAAGGGCCTTCTTCGGTCCGACCTGTATTTAGGTACATGACTAAGTAAACGTAAGGTCCCCCGTGCTGGTGTCCACGGGTGCTAACGATTACTTGCAGAAGGTGCCTCGCTCTGGGACAGCTGGCCGGATGGCGCACAGATGATGAACGACTAGACTGTCGATGGAACCATCATTCAATTTACGACATAGCGCAATTACTTTCTATCTTTCTGCATGGCTGCAATTCTCAACTAGTCGACTTGCATGCGCCGCCTAGGAAGACAACCTTTCTTTCACTGGCCCACTAAGCATCATCTCCCCGCCGACTGAGGCACGGAAAAGAAGCGATGCACCCATGCAATAAGGACAGAGCGTGCTCCACTTTTGCAGCAAGATATGCATATATTGACCATTCCTCCAACTACTGCAGGACTCTTGACTATTGCGTTGCTTTGCTCTAATTGGACGGCGTATCGAGCCATATGCAAGCCCCATTGTGGACAAGGAGCAGGGGGTATAGTCTTAAAAGTAAGAATGGGACTATGGATCTGATCACAAGAGCTTTTCTTGGAGTCTGATCGGAAACGAGACTTGAATGACTCTTCACACCACGTCAAACCCTCGGGGTGCATGTGATATGCAATGATTCAGTTCTTGATTGTAGATGCCGATAGGACGCTATACTTTGGACGCGCTGTGTCGTTTTGATATCAGAGGTGCGAGTCTAGAAAGGTTTTTTGTTGTTCTACAAAGGTAATTGGTGTTTCTAACCACCTGCTTGTCTCGAATGTCTCCACTATGAAACCTGCTTTCTGAACCCTGATCCGATCACCCTGTCACGTTACATTGCAGACGACCTGCTCTTCCTGAGCTGGATACGATGTGGGTTCGATATTCTGTATTGTGTACACTATCCGACCATCAGCATTTTCGTCGGGCCATGCACCAGTTGCTCATTTGATACAAAAGTTGTTTTGGCAGCACAAGATAGGCTTAGGGAGAGCGGGACTCGAATGGGTCCACGCCACGAGGGAAAGGTAAGCCTTACGTATCGCATGCCCAGATAGTGAAAGATATGGGATAGCGATGGCAGCGATAAAAGGTGTCAGGCCATCTTAGGCGGCCAATCACTGCAGTTGCAACAGGCACAGGCATAATTACTTTGTGGATTGGAGATTATCGGCATAAAGCGAAAAGGGAAGGGTGGGGCCCGGGGGGAGGGGGAGGGGCGGCCTAATGTCGCTGCACCGTCGCCTAGGGCTTTGTCATATAGCATGTTTTATCTCCTGATATGTACTAAGAAACAAATCGCAACCTGAGCTAAAGTAACAAACACTAGATTAGATAGTGTTCTACATGGGTGTCCTGGCGTCGGCCTAAAGAACCGCGGTTTTAGCGCGTGCCCTCTGCTGCGCTCAACGTGCCGTCCGAAGAAGCTTACGATGAGCCTTAGGAGAGAGGGGTATATTGTTATACTTCCTTATATACTATTTAGCCCTAGATCCTAATATGCAGTATACTGTACCTTTTTGGGCAGGTCATGGCCTAGGTGGAACTCAGCTAGGTATTGTCACATTACGGGAATATACGAAACATAAGTCATAGCGTTAGAAAAAAAGATCTACTTCTAGTTAACAAACTAGAGCCGAGACTACGTATAAATTGTATACGTAGTTTTGTTACAACGGCCTCCCTGTTTGCGCATAGGGCCAACATAGCGCATCCAACTTGATATGACGAGATCTACTAGAAGTATAATCCTGCAGCTATGAATTCAAATTGACTAGTAAGAAACGCATCCACTCGTCTCCACATTTTCGCATTTGATCGTAAACCATATCATTGAACAGTCTTGTGGGTCTACCTAGTAAGCTACCCACTTGCTTTGATGCGAGTCTGCACACTATCGACTATTGTCTCCTCCAACCCCATAAATCCAAGACGGCCAAGATCCTTCAGCAGCGCTTCCGCCCTCTGCCGCGGACCGATCACGGCGAGTGGGAAGTCGAGCCCCGGGAGCTTCCCCGGAGACTGGTAGTCCCTGACGAATTTCGCAAAGATGTCAAAGAACTCATTGATGGAGTATGGAGACGCATATGCAAAAATACGCTCGTTGGCCGTGTCTGGGTGGATCAGGCCGGCAACGTGAAGACGAGCGACATCCTGGACGTGCACATAGTAGACTACTGTTGCGTTAGCAATTGGTGCAACTTCGCAACTTGAAAACAGATATAACGTACAACGCTGCACATGCTTAATGGAGTCAGTATCGCCGTCTAAAATCTGGAGCGGGATTTTCGATGTGGACGGAAAGCCCTGGTGAACCACGTTGAGCGGACTGCCGTAAATTGTGCACGGTAGCACTGTGTTTGCAGTAAAATGCGGCTTATTGTTCTTGATCCAGTTCCAGAAAGCTTGTTCGGCCGCAACTTTGGATGCAAAGTAAGCTGTCATAAATTTTTGCATGGGCAGAAAATCCTCAGGCATGTTTCTGGCTACACTAAGAGTATGGTTGTCATATTCATCCGATGACACTGTGTCCGTTCCACGATAACCTTGGATGGAGCGGACCGCAGCGGAAGAGGATGTTAGGACGAATCGCTGTACGCTTGGCTCCTTGGCAGCAGCCTGTAAACAAGCCAGCGTTCCCGCAACGGTGGTACGGAGCAATTCGTCCGGTGTGACATCCATACTCCTCACAGAAGCAACATGAGCAATTGCAGAAACGCCTAGACGGGGAAGTTTGATCAGTAACGGAGCAGGAGCTTCTGGCGCAGGGGTAAGTACCTAAGACTGCATCGTCAAACGCGCCCGGCTCTCTCATGTCCTTGACGGCGACAAGTTCAAATTTTCCAGAGCCGTACTTTTGAGAGAAGAGCTGTGCCAGCCATTGGTGCTTGATAGCATCTCGGACGGCGCCTCGCACCTTGTAGCCTTGGTGGAGCAGCTGGTCTGCAACGTGGGCGCCAACGAAACCATTAGCCCCCGTTACAAGGACAGTGGAGCCTGGAGCGACTGCTGGGTTTCCCAGAGGAGCCATTTTTGTGGTGGACAATTGGATAAGGATAGAAGGTGACTTGCGGGTCAGTTTACCACACTCTGGCGTGATGCACAAGTGATGCGATAGTAGCCTTGATATCTTGTTTTGTTGGATTACACGACGTCATGTTACGAGAGCCAGCAGTGACTGACTTGGCGCTATTTGCAAGTTTCGGCGGATTTATTGAGTTGCATGAACGTAGGGATCAAGACGCTCCAGGGTTAAGAGGTCAAGAGTTGGTAGCCGTAGCGTCGGCGGCTCTGGAGCCGAGGCAGGCTAGCCGATCACCAAAAAACATCCCGAGCTCTTACACAACCACGAGAACCAGGCAATAGAAAGGTGAAGCGTCTGTTCGGTTGCTCTATTTCTGTCTTTGTCTGATGACTGTTTTGGTTTTAAAGCTTCAACAGGGGGGCTGGTCAGCTGCCTATCCCGGTTGAGATAGAAAACGGAGGAGCTGTTCGGTTGACTCCATCCTATGTCTAATCTGATCAAGTTTGGGAGCATGTGGTGAGCTGGGCCATCAAAATGGGCATGAAACGGAGGTTTGAAAAATGAGATGGAGATCATGAGCTCCACCTGGAAAACGGAGCTCCGTTTGGCTCAAAGAGGCGCTAATATGGGGCAAGTAAGCACCAAACTGGGCTTTTTCTTTACTATCAGCGCTACTCCGTTTTATACCTCCCAAACCTCCGTTTCCAGACGGAGATCAGATTGGGTTTAGCAACCAGAAAACGGAGCTGAACTGGGCAGACCCTAATTATCTATTACTTTGCCGTTGCATAATATCCGAGCCCGCTAGTGCTCGAGGGTGGCAGGCAGGCTTTTGGTCAACCAAGATACCCGGATAAAAAAATAGCTCCTATCAAACAAAGCTGCAACTGGTAATCAGCCATATCCACCATGATGTAGTTTGAAAAAACATTTTATATGCACCGGTGCTAGAGTTTTACGTATAGATTAATATGCAACTATAGATATATGTATTGTTCTACGATAGCGGTGTATATTGTTGCGTAGTATCACGTGACTAGCTCGCAGT